CTGGTCTGATTTGGTGTTTCCTATAATTCCAAGATTATGAATACGCTCACTGGAGGTACTAAAATCCTCCTACTGCAAAAGGAACAGCTAGTGCTTAGCACTTCAGAATAGACACGTAAGCCTTCAGCAGAGCCCAACCAAGTCCCACCCCCATTGTTGTTTGATGATGTGCACTATTCTCTTCCTAAGCAGCTTAGCTGGTACTGCAGCTGCTACTCAGGAATTTTCTTTAAAAATATTGCAAAAGACTTACCGAGATGCATCCTCTGCTAACAGAACCCATGATAAATCAGGCATTCGCTTGGAAGTCAGGAGTCTATTTCTGGCTCCATCCCTGGCTTGCCAGTGGGTAGCCTCATGCAAATTACTTCATATATAAAATTGGGTATGAAGAATACTGACTTCCTTCATCAAATGTTTTAAGTTCTACTGATGAAAAGCTCCTTCTAAAAGCTGGGGATTATTAATTATATTATGAACCCAACATATTGTATTATAAGAGGGTCAAACAATGCTATAGACGTGATTCTCTTTCTCCAGATAGCATTTCCTTTTCTGTCTCTTAACTGTCTTTTTTCCACCCTCTACCCTTGTCTCTAAAATCTTGCTATCAACCTCTTCCCAATTTCTCTTCCTAGCTCTAACCCTCACAATAATCAGGTAAAGCCCTTCTATTCAAAAACAAAAAAATGAAAAATATCTATGTCATATAATCTCCATTATTTAGTTCAGTGGGAACGAATTAGCTGGAAATATATAAGTAGATTAGAGTGTGATTGATAACAAAATTATTTAATAAGCATGATCCAACCTGCATATGTGATACTATGTAATGTCTACTTCATAATTAATTAAATGTTATTCTACTTATCTGGTGTCCAGTCTGGCATTTAGTTTTGACTCTCTGAGCACCTAAAACTTGTATAAAAGGCAAAAAGGTAAAAACACCATTACTAAGTCATACCAGCTCAACAGCACTCAAATTCTGCAGATAATAATCATCATGTGCTAAATCAAGGCCCAGTATTGAGGCCAGTAGCAACAGAAGACAGAAATCTAATCCAAAACATTTAGAAAGAAAATTAAATTAAATTTTTCCTTGTGTTGCTTTTATTTACCCTTTAATAAAATAGGCCTTGCAGAATATGTGGTCAATTTTTCTAACAATAACTACATAAGCACAAAGGGTCATACACATAACTGACCTCCTTGGCTGTGTCTATAATGGAACATTGCACATTAGAACAAGTGCTAGCTAGCACAATGTTAAGTATGACTAGAAACATGTTTTCACATGTTTAATTCTAGAGACCATAGGTTACTCATGACCAGTCCATCTTTCTTCAAATGAATGTGTTTGTCTGCACTACAGGCAAAATCATGTTTCAGATCACATTGGTTAACATAATGCATTTTTTCATTGTAAGTAAGACCACAGTGATGCTACTTTGATTCACTGGAGTATCGGATGAAATATCTCTTGTAGCAATTAGGGTACATGAGGTCATATGGGGAATAAGAGTCATTTGTATGTGTATTCATGAAGCAAAAGGTAAGTTCTTGAATATGAGGTTTGGCTGTCTTTTAATACTAAAATGCTATCAAATTATTGTCTAGTAGTCTCCACTGTGTAACATACAACATGTAATTTTTGACAGGGGACATTTTTGAAATTACCATAAATTCTTGTGTTCTTCAGAAATTCTTTTCCATGAGAATACTGCTGTAAATATGCTCCTGATCATTACAGTAGTGAGGCTAAAGATGCCAGAGATACAAAAATTACGTAGCTCTCTCCTTAACATTTTCTTCATGGGTGCACTCTGCCATCATGCCAGTGGAGCCATACATAAGCATCTGAGGGCTGAACTGGGCCATGTTATTTGCTACAGTGACTGGAGGATGTGTAGAGATTGTAAGTCTTGTTTAGTCAAGTGCCATGAGATTCTCTGATGAAATATTCTACTAAAATACAAAGCACAATTAGTATTTTTAATAAAGTTGGCAATATAATTTCCAAGGGCTGAAATTTAAAATGATTAATCATGCCCAAGTCATCAAACAGAAGCAGCAAAGAAGCAGATATTTAAAACATCTGTCTGATCAGGGCATAGATTCCAATACCATACGCCTAGAGAGAAAACATGGTCCCACTGAAGTCAACGGGCACCACTGGATGAAGATATTAGCCTTGCTGTGTCCTCAGATTTATTTGATTTGTATAAAGCAGCCACAAAATACCAACAAGAGCTTTGAGGCTCTTTATTTCCAGACTTTGCACTCCCTGGGCAGAGCTGGGGGAACTTTTCCATGCCACTTTTTCCTGTCAAAAAAATGGATACTGGGTGACACTAAAACAAGTCATGAATTAATCTCATCTCCTCCGAGTTGTTTGAGTATTTCTGAAAATTTAGAAAAAGGCAAAGAATTTTGACGTTATCAAAATGATACTGTTTCAGTTTTTGACCTGAAAGAATTTTTGTTTCAAAATTTCTTTCAATATTATTTTTAAACATATAAAACTTCAAAAAAAAAAAAATGCTCCAATCTGAAAGAAAACCCTTTATTATGAGTGGAACGAAATGTCCCACTTCACAGGAAATAATTCCTTTCAACTTCTGGATTTCCCATAAATTCTGAAAAAAATGCTTGTTTGGGGTCAAGGTGAAACGCATCCCATTTTTGATTTTTTGGAATAATCGGTAAAATGAATAATCTGCAGAGATCTAGTAGCAGATGAGAACTGTGAGCTTTGAGGCTTAACACTTTAAATATAAAATTAAAGCACACTCCCTTCTCAATGGCCTGACCTTTTCCCGTTAAGTTAATGAGAATTCTTCCATCAGTGTAATCCCCTGATCTGTAAGCACTGACAGCAATTGCAATATGCCCCTGAAATCCACAACAAAAAAAGGAAATATACTTTCTGAACTAGTAAAACTTTAATTAACAGGGGTTTCTCTTGGCACAGTTTTTGCTATTAAATAAATAAAGCATTTAGTCAAAACCATCTATATTTACTATACAAAATACTGAAAAGCAAACATTTTAAAAGTTATGGAACTTAGGGTTTTGTGAAAAAAACTGTGCTATATGAGCAGTTATTCACACTGAATGCACATAACACAAATGCAACGCAGTATCAAAATACTGTCTGCTCGTACATGGCTAGTGTAAAGTTGGTAGTGTGGGGATGCCATGTTATTAACATTCAAATATGTACTTCACAGAATCCAAACCAGATCAAATTAATCTTTTGGATCTCAGGAAAAAAAAACAAGCTCAAAGTTGTGACTTATGTTCAATGTAATACAACAGCTCAAAAGTCCACTTGCCTCCAAGTTTTGTTTTGCTGTTATCTTTTCTGGCAGAGTATCTTTGCATTTTAGAGTATTTATGCCCCATTCTACATTCTCTCCCCTCAGAGAACTGGCATACGATTGGAACACATGTTGAGTATTTCCTAGGTTTACACGTTTTCACCCAGGAATGATTTGTGTAAAGGGAAAAAAAAAACCCCTAAAATGGCAGAATTCTGGCAAATACTCTACTGAAAAGAGACCAGCATTGTGTGCATTTCAGAAAAAATAGCATGGCATCCCTTTTCAGATGGAATGTACACTTGTGTGTTTGCATGCGGTATAACGTAAGTCACTTGAATACATCAGACTTTGTTAACACTATAATATAAATAAGCTTATTCCTTCTACTAGACATGTAAATGCCTTTTTTTTTTTTGCAGTCAATAATTATATATACATTGAAAAAGAATGATACACAAGCAGCAAAATAGGCTTAGACTAGAACAACTCAGTGGTAACTAACCAAATTTGTGGCCTTTTCATATTTTCAATACAGAATATTCTGCATATAAATATTTTTGGACTTTAGGAATTTAAAAAATAAACAGAACAGTATAGTTGTCACACAGATCAAACACACTTTAAAACATTTCGCTAGATTTAACAGAACACAATGCTGACAGCTAAAAAAAATAAAATAAACCAGATTTTTAAAAGGGACAATAAGTCTAAACAAATGCTGATTTCGGGAGACATGAGATGGAACTAATTACCAAGAAGCAGTGATTCCACCCAGTTCCACAAGTTGGCAAGGCTTTCAGCTTTATTTTTTTAAAACATTGATATCTCTTTGTCCTTAGATAGGCCAGCCACCTTCTAAGAGTTTCTATGCTCAAAAGTAGGAAAATCTTCCATTTTAGACTGATCAAGTCTCTAACTGGTAGAAAAACGTGCCCTACTCATAAAGGGCCCATAAAAATGTGGGATAGTTACATTTCACAATATATATATATATACTATAGACAAAAAACACATATAATTAGAAGAAACTAAAACCAAAAGCAAATATGTCTGATAGAACAATTACATTTTATGTGAGCAGAACTCTATGTTTAAGTTCCAAGCAATGGAGCAGTTGTTTTTCAGTCATTTCCACTTACAAAATAGCATTCTGTACAAAACCTGACTCTGAACATATAAATTTGGGCCCCATAGAAAACAAAACCCAATTGTATTGACTTTTTCTTCTCAGTTTTCCCATTTGTTTTGACCTTCTAATGTCTCAGCAGCCAATAAGATCTTAGTAGGTCTTGTCTCACTCGATGGAATGGAAGCCCTTTGATATGAAAAAAGTGGAAGAGGCCAGAATGACTGAGAGCAGTGTTTTTCATGTACTGAATTGTCTTTAAAAAGGGAGTTGAACAAAGCAGTTGGTGCTGGGGAAACAAACTGGAGGTACCCAAGAAAATGCCATGGGGTATGTGTTTTATAACATAGCTAAAAAGTCACTGTCATAAGAAAAAAATTATAATGTTAATATTCAAACCACAGATTTCTAAAACACAAGAAAATGTACCTGAGTGTGTATATTTATATATATATATAGATAGATAGATAGATATAGATATCTATCTATCTATATATATTTATATTTATATTTATATTTTATATTTTATATATATTTGCCAACATTTAAAGTGAGAAAGTATATTTCCCCCCAATTCTCTCTCAAAACAAAGAATTGCTAATTTAACCACGCCCCCCACCCCAACCCAAAACAAACCATGAATATTAGTTATGGCCCAAGCACTAAAGTTTAGTAATGGTTTTGAAAAAACCCATTTTACATACTCCTCTTTTCTTTCTTCTCCATTGGTTTTCCAAAGCAGAACAGAGAGTAAAAGAAAAAAGAAGTATATTTAAATATGTTACCCAGTATCTAACAGACTGTACTTGTGTCAGTAAAGAACCTCAAAAAATAAAGTACAAGTTCTAAAATGTAGCTCTGTTGACAAATATCGCTAGTATTTCCTTATAATACTATTAAGATAGCTTGAAAGGATGTGAAAGTCCAACACAAACAGGCTACCTGAATGCAGTATATTAAAATCCCCCTGTAGCACATTACAATCAATAAAAAGAAAATAAAATCTGAATAATACTAGAGGTAGCAGCTGTTTGTATTCTCTGTTATTCTGAGTATTTCTGGAGTCCAAACCTTCGAACATTGCTCCCCTGATAAAAGGCTTGCGTGCAATCAGCCAACATACAGCAGACTGGTAACCTAGATGTCTGCAACGCTGTTTGAAGTATCTTTTCTAATACAATGAAGGAAGTACTTGTAAAGGAAGTGCGTTGACGACCTGCATTAAATCACAGCTCAAAAAGATATGGCTGTTTGCTGTTTTACAAGCCACTTTAAAACACACACACACACACACACACACACACACACAAAATCAGTCCACAAGTTCTTAAGTAAGCTATGCAGTTCCACAACATATAAATAGTGAAAGGTTCAAGAGTTTCATATACTTTCTAAAATATATGCTAGCTGAATATTAATGGAGTAACAATAGTATTAATTAGAGTAATGCCTTAGTCTGACGTCAGAGGAACATGTTTCCTTCATATGGGATGATTCTAGAGGATGTTGGAGGGATCTGCTTTATGTTTGGTAGAAATGATGGTAATGGTGGTGATGCTCATGATGGTGGTGATGTTCATGTCTCTGTATCATTTGTCCAACTTGACCTTCATATAAAATGACAGTGGGCAGGTCTCTCACATGTTCTTTTTCTACAACTGTCCCTGGAGACTGGAAAGTTTTGCACATTTGGTGATTCTCCTTTGCTCGCTGCTTGTGTTTCTTGTAGGCCTGCTGAGACTGCATGGGGAGATATGGAAGATTCTGGCCTACCCGTGTGGTTGGGGAAGCCAATGGCATGGATACCCCTTGAAGAGGTTTATTCCTTACAACCCTTCCAGGGTGAACAGAGGCTACATTTCTGGTCAGAACCTTGGGTGACCTAACAAAGTGCTTGTTTGAGTCCTGATTCCGCAGCCTCTGTTGTATTTCCGCAATCTTGGCATATGAAGCATCAGCCAAATTGATGTGACTGGGGTCCACTACTTGAGATTTCCTATGGTGGGCATGGAAGGTTTCAGGTTCATGAGAGCGGGATCTAGTTTGATTTGCAACTCTGCTTGGTGGGTCTTGTTTTTGAGCTGCTGGAGGAGATCCTAAGAAATAAAAACAGAGTTAGGTATCTCAGATTTCAAAGTTTTAATTAGTAGCATGTACTTGGCAAGGTTAGATCTATCAGCAGAGTGGAATTCTCCTCAAGAACTAAATGCAATTATAGCTATAGATGTTTAAAAATATTTAACAAAATTCTTGTTATTAAATACAAACTATAAGCTATATATTTTTTAAAAGCTCTTATTCTATCCTGAAAAATTTTGGTTTTGGCAATCAAAGTACAGCACACCAAAACAAGTACTTGGAACTGTAACACTTAGAGCAGTGTCTTCCAAACTTTTGATATGTGGGGCTCACTTTTTTCCAGTTTAAGACTGGTGGCACACTTTACTCTTACACCTG